CTCTTCAGCTTAAGCTGCTGGACCACTGATGTGCTTTCTTGTGTGCTGCTTTTATTACTGCTTACAAAACTCCAGATGTCCATGCAATTTTAAGCCTCGTCCATCGAGGAAAATAAACCACTCGAGAGGGCGTCAGCAAAAATATCCAATAGGTTTCTGTTTTTAAAATTGTTTGACTTGCTTGATTTCCATATAATTTATCTACAAGAGCCAATTTATGCAAGAGTATCCGGTTGCAGAACTGCCAAGGCTATGAGAGAACGCAACCAGCAGAGCCTCGGTGGACACGTCCTGTATGTAGGGTTATTCAGACATCCAGGAATGCTGCACAGGGCCAAGTACAGCCGATTCAGGAATGATTCGATAACATCCCTAGATGAAGGTACACAAAATACGTCTTTAAGTATCAAAGGTTCTTCTTCCTCTTCCCATTCTTCAACATCTAATTCACTGACGGAAGATGTCTCCCTGGGGCCACAGGACACCTGCACCACCCTGTGCACGCTGATCCCCCGGATGGCTAACATTAAACTAGCCAACCCATCAAATCTGCCGGGGCTGAAAAGCTTCTGTCTGGGAACAAAAGAGGTGCCAAGAACTAAACTCACAGAGTGCGTTACCATCCCGAGCAGCCCAACCTCACCTGAGATCAGCTGCCTCTCAGCATCTTATCCACAGCCCGACCTGGACAAGCTGGCCCTAACCCCAAAGCTGGTGGGCGACTGTGCGGTGTGGGGAGCTGAGGAGGCTGCTCCTGCGGGCAGGCAGGACGGGAGCCTCGCGCCCAGCGGTGAAACCACCGGGGAGCCAGGGACAACCTACGGTGTGCGGGTGAGTACTTCTCACAGGGTTTCCATTCTCTGACAAAACAAACTGTGCAGGTGGCTGCAGGGTGACCTCTGTGTTCCCGCTCCTGGAGCCAGTGCCCCAAACCGCTGACTTCTCCCGTGTATTTCCTGTCCCCTGAAGTACATAGGGCTGTGGTGTTGAACTGAGGGAGCTGAAAGGACCACAACCACTCCCAGAGGTAACACAACATCCGTTTCTAGAAGGCTATCTTTAGACTCTCTGAGGAGTGCAGCTGAGCTGCAGTTCAAACCAGCGTTACTCTGTCCTGAAGTGCATGTTGGAGGGAGAAGGAGGCCCACAAAAAGGGCTTCCCATCCCTCACAGAGCAGCTCCCAGGCACTAGGTGCATGCTGGTCCACCCCACTGATGTATTTGTCACAGAGGGTGTGGGAGAGCTGCTGGGACTGCTGGTGCTGACTGGAGCACCTCTCCTCCGTGTCTCCTGCCCTAGGAGGTGAGCAGGCAGGATGCAAAAACTGTCCTTCCCTTTAATACTATAGGGCTGTGTCTGATTTTCTTGGTAACCATGGTATAGATAAAACCCTGCCTATTTCTTCAGAAAACACCCTGAAATACCCTTTCTGACTATTTTTCATGTTGTGGATGGCTTGTTATGTGTCATCTTCTAATTAGCAGTCAGTGGCCAAGAGGAGACTATGCCTCCTGGGCTCGGTGCTTTTGCTCCCTCCATCCTTGCCACACTTGGGAGCTTTCTAATTTTTTTTTTACTCTCTAGACTTTATATTTCTGTGGCCAGACCGTGTTGTTTTCTAGACATTGCTTCCTTCTCTACCCTGCGCATTTCAGTGCTTACGCTTCATCTGTCAGAATCATCCTGGGCAAAATGCTTGGATGGAGGGAGCCAGTGCAGGCCATGGGGAAACGGCAGAGAAAGCGGTCTAAACTTGCTTCAGAAATACTCAGGTAATGGCTGGGCTGGCCAAGGGCTCCTGTAGCTCTGGCAGCCCTCGTGCCTGTCCATGACATGCAAGGGAGACCGCAGGAGCAAGTTGTTCAAGGGGTTATTAACCAGCATCTGTTCCTCCTGGTGGGCTGCAGGCAGGGTGCTGATGTGTCTGTGTGTGAGCTCTCAGTGTGGTGTACAGGAGGTATCAAAATGTGCCAGAAAGAGTAAAAAAGCCATAAGCCATGCAAAATGTATGTCTCCCATGTGATGTTTTGCAAGCAGGAAAGTCTAAAGAAAGGTGCAAGGCCAAGAAAAGTCAGTTAATTCCTTTCTAAATGCAGGAGGAGGGCAGACAAATCAGAGGGGAAAAGAGCAGCATGGGCAAATAGCCATGTTCACCTTTCCCCAGGCAGGAGTGAGATGCCTGCCTGGTGCTCAGCAGCGGTGACACAGCTGGTTTGATGGGAAGTTGTCTGAAAGGTGATGGTGTCCCAGAATGGCATCTGCCACTGGCAGCAGAGCTGCAGGAGGCCCCAGGACTTGGACTGAAGCAGGTGGAGGGAGGGGATGTGCTATTGCATCACACTCATATGTGTCCTTTTCTTCAAATTCTAGTACTAATGTAAGCAGTTGATGTTTTGACATCAACAAGCTGCTAAAACAAATCAATGAGCATGTAGGGTGTGACTTAAAGTGACAGTGCAAGGGCCACTGCAGCTCCAGGTGCTACACTTCCGGCCAGCCCAGCAGAAAGGCCCTTCTAATGGATGGGGGGGGGGCCCAGCAGAAAGGCCCTTCTAATGGTTGGTGGTGTGGGCCCCCCCCCCCGCCGTGCCGGTGCTTCCCTCGTGTGCTGTGGTTTGAGCAGCGCCCGATGCGGCAGAGCTTGTGACTAAGGCTTTGAGGTACCGGGTTTCTCTTGTGGCCCAAGGCTGAGAGCAGAGGCACCGAGGTGCCAACTGCCAGGGAGCACGTGAGCAAAAAGTGAGAAGGACTTGACGGGAAGGTCAGTGAAGCGGGGAAGGGCTCATCCCCTTCTGCTGCTTCCCTGGTTGTATTTCCAGTATGGCTTTCTGCCGGGTCTTTCTGGAAGTCACCCCATTTCACGGGGGATCTCTCTGAAGGGAGGTCACTGGCAGGAGCCTCCCAGTGCAGTGGGGAAATGTTGTTTCCCTGCATCTCTCCTGCATCATCCCACTATTCTTGCTCCTGCAGCTGTGGGCCTGCAGGAGCCAGCCCTAGGAGAGCTGCAAGAGCACTGCTGACATGTGCCAAAATGCTTCCTGGCCAAACTCTTGGTGTTGGTTTCAACCAGCCCCTTTAATAGCAAGCGGGTCTGTAAATATGCAGCCTGGAGGTTTCAGGGCCTCAGCATCAGAGCATGGGCAAGGAGCTCATTTCCCCAGGGACCACAAGGCTTCTCCTGGAGCTGGAGATGAAGCCTCAGCTGGGCTGGGAGGCAGCCAAGGGTGCAGGGCTGCAGTGCAGAGGGAGCTGGTGCTGTGGGATGGTCTTGCCTGGAGGCAAAGCGGGGCTGGGAGGCTGAGGAGCCAGGCAGCCCCAGGAGCTGCTCCCAATCTTTACCCCAGTCCTTACCCAATCCTCACCCCACTGACCTGGCCCTCACCCACCATCCCGTGATGTTGGAAGTCACCCGCTGTCCCCACGCAGCTTCTCACGCCTTGTTAGGGTATGGGATCGTTGGGATCTCCTCAGAGACTGTTTGAGGAGGAAAGTCAAGTCTGTGTTACAGGGCCTGCTGCTGCCAGAGATCTTTGGCTTTAAAAGCTTAATTGCAGTCTGAAGAGGATTTGGCACTTATGTGGAGAGGATCTGCAGTTATTTTAGAAAGGCAATAACATGGTGAAGTAATGAAATGCCTTAGGGCAGAAGCTGTCCCCGACAGACTGGAGTGAGGCAGAAATTGTCTTTCCGAGGTTGGTTTAAGAAGAGGCGATGCTGGGCTGATCGCACCTCCCTGGGGGGCAGCTGCAGCCATGCATGGCTGGGGGTGACGGGGCACCTGTGTCATGGCCATGTGTCACCTGGGCTCTGGTGAGGAAGCTGAGACCCGTAACAGCACCTGTTCCCCCAAAATGCTCTTGCAAATAACAAAGAGCCCAAATATTCATATTTTAATGGGAGTCCGGATGGCTCAGATTCCCACAGCGTTACCTTTCAAAACATACTTTGTGTGCAGGTTGCTGCAGGATTTACAGGATGGGTATTTACCTTGTCCTTGTTCATGTTCTATCCGTTATGTGCCTTCCCACTGTGCTGCCCATCTGGAGCTGAGGTTGTCTCTATACAGTGCCCATAGCGGCCAAGGCACTCGTGTCCTCCACTGGTGGTCATTAAGGCTGTGATGAGCCTCAGCAATATTTCAAGAGGCACTTGCCATCCTTCCTTTTGCTCACTGGGTTGTGCCAGGGATGTGGCAGCTCCTGAGCAGGAAGATGAGACCCAGCTCTTAGTACTGTCCCACACAAGTGGCCCCTCTGAGACCAGTGAGAACCAGCAGGATGGTGTTACTGGACCTAATGTGGAGTAAGGCTCTGTGGCTGAGCTTAAATCAATAATGCACGAGTCTGTGAGAAATTATGTTCAGATTAGTAAATAAATGTGCTATTTAACTAAAATACAGAAGGGAAATGCTATCCCCACATATTTTAAAGTGTAATAATATTGTAGTGAAATAATGTAGTACAGGTTATTTACAGCATCCTTTGTCATAAAGGGTGGATATATCGGAGTTTTACCAATATATAGGTTGATCCTCTGCTAGTAGTTTGGTCTGTGTATATATATATCAGTTGCTAGTCTCTAGAGTAAAAAGAGCTTGACTGCTGCTAATACAGAGGTTCAGAACAATGTGAAATACCTGAAAGAGTGGGCATGGTCACCTGTTCCCTGCACAGTCCTGCTTTTGTCCATGGAGGGTGCGACAGGTCAGCCTGGGGAACCTGCTCCCTGTCTCTGTGTGGGAGGGGGTTCAGGGCAGGCCTTTGCCGGTCCCCAGAAGCTATCAGCACCTCTCCTGGGCTCAGGGCAGGGAAATAATGGGGGTATTTCAGCTGCAGCCACTTCCTGGGTGCACAGCACCCTGACACAGCACTGGATTGCTGCTCTGGCCTTGGCACCCTGCATCTCTGTCATAAATAAATAACGTACAGGTGTGTGCACAGCCGGGGCTCTCGCAGGAAGGAGATGGGCTCCGGTGATTCATGGCTTCAGAGCTGCAGCTGTGAATCGTGAGCTGAGGGCTCACACAGAAATTTACACACACATAAATTTACAAACTTTTCCCTGTGTTTTTATCAAAATTTATTTAAAAATTGAAAACTCATGAATGAAAGGGTCAGACTTTCCCAGGAAAATTTCCGTTTAGCAAAAGCCATTCTTCATCACAAAACCCATGTTTTGCTGCCCCTTAGGGAAGAGGCTGTGCTGGGTGGGCAGAGGAGCGGGATGGACCAAGGGCCTTTCTGTCTGCCCACGCCAGTGCTGCTACTGGGAGGAAGATGAGAGCAGGGCAAGCACATGAGGAGAGTTAGGCTAGCACTGACAAACCACTAGTGGCTTTTTTTGTGTGCTTAATGGTCTGTAATGATAAAGGTGTTCAGTCTGTTTTCCAGCCTGTTCTGCCCGGGTTTTGTGCTCTCTCGCAGGTGCCCCGGGGTACCCATGCCCGTGCTGGTGTGCAGCTGCCCCCATGGGCTGCTTTCGCCTCTCTGCTCCCCTCGGAGGGGACAGGAGAGCAGGCTCTGCCCGCTTCGCTTTCCGCTCTGGAAGGAGTTGGTGTTTGCTGGAGGAAGCTGGTGTGGTTCAGACTGAGGAACGAGCCAGCTGAATCTCCTGCAGGGAGCAAACCTGGGCCAAAGCTCTTCCTTAGCAGCCTGACTGGTGGCTGCTAACGGCGTTCGTCACACTGACCCCAGCCCGGTAGAACGCTGCTGTGTGTTGTGGGATGAGGAGCCAAGCTGACCGGCTGGGGGGGGGGGGGGGGGGGGTGGTGCAACCTGTGAGCTGACAGGAACACAGTGCTGCTGCCAGGGAAGCTGTGCTGGTCTGTGCTTTTAAACACAGTGGCTTTTAAACCCCAAAACCACCACAGGCAGCAACTAAGGAAGGGCTGAGAAAACTTCTCCACCAAAACTACAGTGATCTGTAGTGTGTGCTTCTTCCTTGCGTGCCTGGCTGGCTCCCAGTGTTGGCCACGGACAGAGGCCAGTACCTCACCTTCCTGCCAGTGTGACAGCAAGAGGATCTCAAATCAGGAGCTGGGCAGCCCTTGCCTGCAAGGAAAGAGGGTGGTGGGAAGCTCAGAAATGGTTTTCCTCTCACTTCAAAAGCACCTTGTTAAAGCAGTGCTGGGAAAAGGAATGCTTCCATGGGAGTCAGCTCCCCACTGTGCTCTTGTGCACGCAGCACTGCTGCTTGTGGCAGGTTTCTGCCCAGGCTCCCGTGTCATGTTTTCAGGGAATTTGAACCTAGTCTCACATATGTTTGGACAGAGGCTGTTTAGTGGCAACATGTTACCTGGCTGCCTCTATGAGCAAATCCTGTCCCTTGGATTCTTTGTGAAGTCAGCCATGGGTCTGTAGGAGCTGCTCTTGGCATTACACATGAATTAATGCCTGTTAACTAATGGGTAACATTGCAAGGCTGCAGCTGTGTTGTTTAATTAGGAGCTCTGTGTGCTGCTCCCTGTATCATTCCTGCGGGTGAATCACTGTCTGTCATTCAAGCTGGAGCTGGAGCCACTGACTGCATTATGGCAGGGAATGAAATGAAATGTGGGTCTGGATTAGAGGGTGCCTGTAAAGCTTATTCACATGGGCCCTGCCTAGCGTCTTCACATCTCCTCCCACACAGCCCCTCATCCTGTTTGCAGTCACTCTCCGTCATCTCTTGTTAATAGATGTGAAAAGATGTGTGCATCTTCAGTAACCACCCTTCCCCCCGCCTCTCTGCCATCCTGGCAGTGTGGGGAAACAGCAACCAGCCCCAGATCACCCTCCAGGTCTGAACATGGAGCTTCCCCAGTGCTGATGCTCTCCCCAGCCCTTTGCAGGGAATTGCAGCCAGCTTTGCACACGTTGCCCTTAGAGGAGCCGTTCCCTTTCCAGCAAGGGCCAGGGAGTCTCCCCTCTCCCCACTCCCCTCAGGAGCTGCTGCTCGCCCTGGCAAGAGCTCTCCATCCCGCCGCTGACAGATCAGTGGGTTCAGCATCTGCTTTCATTGGTGGTGTCAAATCTTTAGTGCTCAGCTTGTTCCAGTATTGGCATTTTATTTTTCTGTAGGCAACTGAATTCTGCAGTTACATCTGTGCTCATTGCCCTGGGCTGGATACAGCAGCCTTGTGCCTGTGTCCAGTTTCCTCTGGCTTCCCCTTAGCAGCTCAGTGAAGCCAAGCTGTGCTCCTCTTCATGGGGCTTTGGAAGAGGAACCCCCTTCCTTGGACACCACCTTTGAACCCTCAGCTCTGCTATCACCATGTTACAAAAACACCTGGGTGATAGCTTGGGCTGGGGCAAGGGCTGTGCACTGCTGTGGCTTCCTCTCTCGGGGCACTGCGGGAGGGCACCCGCAGCTGCTGCCCTGACAATGCTTCAGCTTAACCCTCCCTGCAGCAGGAAAGCAGGACATGGCATTGACCCTGCATCCGCAGACGAGCCCACTAGGTTCTTGTGGGAGCTGCTGTTTGGGGTGTACTGGATGGGGAGCAGGGGAACAGCCTCGACTGGAGTCCAAGTGCAGGAGAAGTCTCTGAGACAGGCCTTGCCCTTGGCTCCTGCCTTCCCCTTGTTCTCTTAAGAGGTCGTGCTGCTTGTCGGACTCAGCTATGGAGGGGTTAATCTTTTTCCTTGTTTATTTATTATTTTTTCTTCCTCAGAGAATGTCTTTTGTTTTCTTGAATAGGCTTCTTGTATCCCATTGTGCTTTTATGTGCTCCTTGGGCTTCTCCCCAGCTCTGTGACCCCGACTTCTTCTGCCCCAGTCCCAATCCCACGACATCCCCCTGCCCATGGCTCTGCTGGTTCTCTGTACCCTCCTACTGCGATGTGAAGGCTCAGCTATTACTAACTGTGCTGGTTTAGATAACCAAAGGCAGCTAAAATAAATGAGAGATGCAGTGAGGTGCCATGTTAATGTACTTCCCTACTCAGGCTTTTAAATTAAAAAAAAAAAAAGGCCTTTTGTGAATCATTGATAAGTTCGGCTTCACTCAGGGTCACTTATGCAAAAACCTAATATTGATTTTTCATTTTTGCTTAGAGTAGCTTCCCACGCATCTGTTCAGGATGCAGTGGGGACTCACTTATCAGCATATGACTCATCTACTCCTTTAAATCTTTCTTTCCTCAAGGATGGAGGAGCAGCCAACCAGCTCACAGGATGCTTGACCTTATACTGTAGGATCAGAGGTCTCCACTGTGCTTACAAGCTGAGGCTCTAGACATATTTTCTACGTTTGCTTTGTTCCCGTTAAGCAGGAATATCTTTAACAAGTAAGATAGCTCTGAGAGTCCTTTACAAAGTCATTAAATGTTCATTAGGGAAGCAGCTGTCAGATTCTTATTGATGTCCTTCCAGGGCTCTGACCTAATTCTGGAGTTCTCCCAAGGGTTACATTGCTATCTGGAAAGAAACCAAAATGGGGATAATACAATTGTTGTGGAATCCCTGCTTGACTGCACACATTCTCTTTTTAACACACACATTCATTTCTGAAAGTCTCCAAAGCTGAAACAGATACCTAAATCCAACCCTCTCTGAATGGCCCAGCAGAAAAATCGGTTCACAGGCAAAGTGAGGCAGAGGAGGTAAATATGGCACCTTTCTCTGGACAGAGAGTACTTCCTCTGTCCATTCAGAACAAGAGGACAGAGCATGCATGTCCCTGCCTGGGATTTCCAGGCTGTCTGCTGTATCCCAGAGGCTTTGACTTTCTTCCGGAGAGGTCTGTGCAGGCAGGCTGTCGCTGCAGCCCACGGGCACGGTGTGAGCACTGCAGGATGCTCCTGAAATCCCTCTTCCTCTGGGACAATTCACTGTGGAAGAGGGGATGGAAACTGAGAGATCCAGACCTATGCCAGCCTTGTGAAATGGAGATGTTGGAGTGCTTCAACAGCAGAGAGATGAGTATCAACAGAAATGCTGAAAGAATTAGTAAGATGTGTTTTGGGAGAGGTAAGGTCAGTGGATAGACTAAGCCTAGTGCACTTCACTGAGATTAAAATGTTCCATAGGTTTGTACATAACATCAAAGGAGTCTGTGGGCTGACAGACCATCACGTTCTTGATGTTTCTGAAAATCAGTCTTATGCAAATCCCAGATGAGTGTAGAAAAGCCCCCAGCTCTGCCCCATACAACACAAGTGTGGGAGTCAGCCTCAATTTAAAGCAGGTCAGTTTATAGTGCGGGCTCTTAAGAGCTGTTGCTATGAGCTGGAATTGCAACTCTATCTCCTTCATCTTCTGCAGAGGTTATTTGTCATCAGATGTGCAGCAGCATGGAGCCAGTGGTTTTTCTCATGCCTAGTAATGCCTCCCGCTGCTCTGAAGGGACATTCAGCTCTTCTGCACAGGGAGCTCTGAGTGCACCAGTCCTCTGGGACTTCCAGAGCCCTTCTGCTCTCAGGGAATTTCCCTCCAATGTCCATGTATTCCTCCCAGCTCCGTGCCACAGGCTAATCAGTGAGAAAAAGCAGAACTGGAAAAAAAGGGATGATTGGATTTTGTGTCCCCAGAGTGCTTTACCTTTTTTTGTGCTATGTTGTTGAAGCTGCTGGTATCTTTATTGCTCTTCTCTACACTTTTCAGTAAAACAGGATCTATTTCGGAAGCAGCTTTAGGGTGGCTGATTTGATTTTCCATTTAGACTGTGGTGCTGCATATACTTAGTGGACTGAAATCCATTTGCTTCCTTCTGTGATCCTCCAAAGGCAAGACCTTTGCTAGATATTAACGTAGTCCTCCTTTGCCTCTGTCTCTCTGTTTTCCCTAGTACATGGGCTGTATTGAAGTGCTGCAGTCAATGAGGTCCCTGGACTTTGGCACACGAACGCAAGTCACCAGGTAGGTCATATCAAAATGAAATTCACCCCGAATTAAAAGCCCAAGAGCTAATTTCTGTATAAAGCCAAGGGTGCGTGCCAAGCTCTGAGACAATTTTGAATAGGAGTTTGCATGTTTTGTTTTGTTTTCTAAGCGATGATTTGAATTATTTGATCATTACAATAGGCTATTTGCATTGGAAAAGGAATTGTTTTAGCCACAGATCTAATTCATCTCCCAATTCTTGTTCTGGATGCAGAGAGCCTCCCCTTGCAGCCGCAGCATGGTACAGGCATCCCCAGCTAGTTGGGCCACGCACACGGGCTCAGCGCTGCCTGCACAGCTCACCCAGGACACAGGGTCAATCTCCTGGTGCTGCTGTGGCTGTGGGTGGCCAAGGTCGCGAGCCGGGATGCTCACAGGCCTCTCTGCCACGCTGCTTCATGCCTGATGCAGAAAGTGCTATTGGTCTCTCAATCTAGTAAGGTCATCTAATGAATTTTTATCAGACGAGTGACATCGCTTGGCCCCATCTGCACCAAGGCCAAGCTCAGCTGTAAGGAGAGTCACAAGGAAAACAGGTTGAAATACAGCCATTTCCAGCTGTACTCCAGGCCCAAGTTTCCAGGATGCAAATTAGAAAAATATTAATATTTCAGTCTCAGATACAAGTGAATGTGGTTTAAATGTGAAATATTTTGTGGTCTTTCAAAAAGTTTGCAACTTCTGTTGCAGATTGCTGCCCATCTCTGGGTGTAGATTATTAATACATGCACCTGTGAGGTTGTTGGAATGACCTGTCAGGAATAGAAAAGCTCAGTTCTATTTTTACCTGTGTTCTTGAAAGTCTGTCAGTGCAGGAGTGATTGAGTTTTCAAAATACACACCTTCTTTCCAGCTCAGAGCACTGCATGCTGCTGGGATGCACTCGTGGTCCAGCAGCCAGGGCTAGTGCTCTGCCAGCCAGCTGCAGCAGCCACCCGGCATCCTGGCACCTCCAAAGGCTTTTTGGAGGGATGAGTGGCTGCAGAGTATTTTGACCTGGCCTTAGACATATTCCCTCCTCCCCTCAGCTACTTTTTTTTCTGGCATGGTTTGTGCTGAGGATGCCAGGAGTGTGGTTGAGGCTTCCTGTGCCTACCCAACTCTTCCTTCCTGCTGGCAGATGATTTACAGATGCTCTTTTGCTTCCTCAAGTGTTCATATCAAAGAAATCTTGGAGAAAGGAAAGGAACATGAGGATATAAGTGTTACATTTCTACCTATTGCCTCCCAGACTTATCAGCTAAAAGGAAGAAACTGAAAAAAAATTGAGTCCTTAAATGCCTATAAACCACACTCGAAAGCTGCCTGATTTATGTTCAAAATCAGCAGTTGTTGACATTTACAATCAGCATAAGCATGCACTCACCCAGTTCCCACATGTATATATGAAGAAGTGCCTGAGATGCAAATACATTTCCCTCAGCCTAGTTGTTTACCGATCAAAAAAAGCCATGTAGTACACTTAGCCCAAAGCACTCGGCCCAGCGCATCCAGACTGAGCCGCTGTATTCTTCAACAGCCTTGGACAAAGAGTGAGGTTCTCTCTCATTTGCAAGACCCAGAGTGTATATGCTGCTACACTTAGAAAATGGAGATTTGAATGGTTTGTCTGGAAAATAATGAATATGAATTACTGTGTGAGGAGAGCTTGCCAACTTCAATTTGGCCCAAATAGTATGGTTTTGTTAACCAGAGCTATGTGAAAACTTAACAATGGAAATATTTCCATCACCTAAAAAAAAATGCCACTGCTGACCTTAACGGGCTCTTTTGTGCATGAGAAATTCAAAACTTAAATCTGTTTGCAAACCAGATGCTGGAGTGCTGAGCTCATTCATGCAAACTTTAAAGTTCGATCGATTACAAGCTGACTGGAGCGAAGATAACGTTGATTATTCCCCTATTGTTCTCCCAGGAGAGTAAGTTATAGACGGCATGCACAGTGCACCAACCAAGGACTTACTGGAAATGATCCTATTTTAATCATCTCCGTTATTTGTACTGAGGGTAAAAAATATTTTTGCTCCAATGGCATTTCACTGACCAAAGAGGCATCTTCTGTTTTAAAGTGATGTAGAAAGGGTCTCTAATTATACCTGCTCCCTGCCTTGCTTTATGTGTATTTGCATTCTTAGTCTCCTGATCTCTAAAATTAAAGATATTATTTACCTACCTCACATGAATGTTGGAAAGATTAACAAACTCGTGTTTGCCAAAGTGCTGTGAGGAGTAAAAAGAGATGAGTGTGGAGGATTTATTTTCCAGTTTCTTGCTGGACTTGCATTTTCAGTCACTGACCAGGCACAGGGTTGGGGAAGGCAGAAAGTGGCCTCTCCAGCGCTATGAATGACCATGGAGTGCCAAGATGCTGTATGGCCATCAGGCCAAATGGCTGCAGCATAGCAAGGGAAGGGCCAGGCCCTGAAGTGCTCTCAGCCCTTGGTGGCTGTGAAGGTTGACAGAGGAGATTTAGCTGCAGCAGTTTTTTCTTCCAGCTCTCTGCAATGCCCACCTATGACCCAACACATGCTTTTAGGACATCCCTCCCATTTTGCAGAAATTTGTGATCCCAAACACCATGTAGGTGACAAGAGTAACACCAAGGAATAACAATAAGGGTAACAGGTTCCTCTGCTTGAGAGTCTTTGGATTTTTTTGAGTGGTCACCCATAAACATGCTGTGTTTGCTGCTCTCAGCATGTGTTTGAGCTGTTGCCCTTGGGCTGTGGCAGGTCCTGCCTTTGCTGGGTCCTGACATGTGCTTCCCTTGTCCTGCCCTTCAGCTCTTTTCCTCTTACACAACTCCCACTTCTGTGAAATCAAACTTATTATTAGTAATTATATTTGGGCATTTATGGGAAAAGGGATTCTATATCTCAGATCGGGGCATTGACTTGCAAACTTGAAAATGGTGAGGCAGCAAAGGGCGTCTGCAACGTGCTGCTGGGGAGGGCTGGTGGAAGAAGGCTGACTTTGTTCGCAAGATTAATTTCAACTTTGTTGAGATGCACAATCCCTTTCTGTTTGATAGTGTAGGCAGAGCCTGAGATGCTTAAAACCAAATCTTCAACAGCATGCTTACTTGCTTACATCAGCCCATCTCTCTCCTTTTACTCTCATTTGGGGGAACAATAAACAAAGCGGCTCACTGTTGCTGCCAGCGTGGCACTCTCCTGCGTGCTCTTGCAGGAGCAAGGAGGAGCGTCTGCTGTGGGTTTTGATCCAGAGGTGCAGACCCAGAGAAACCTGTAGACTGTACAGCTGATCTAAAGACTTATGGGTGCTGAAAATGGGGCTGTCCTTGCCAATCCCTCGTGCCCCAGAGCTTGCCAAGCCATCAGCAAGTGGCCGCAGCCCAGGCGGATGGCTGGCTGTGACCCAGCGGGCAGACGGAGCAGTGCCCTGGGGGGCTGCACCAGGCTTTTTGGGGAGCAACCAAAAATTCCCTGTGCTTCCAGCTTCCAAAGCACTCAGTGGCATAGGAGGTATGCCACTGTCCTGGTTCAGTGTGTCCCAGCCCAGAACGTGGGGAGCTGCCTACAGCAACGTGCTCAGGAGCCTCAGTGTCCCATTTGAAGAGGAATGATCCTGCTTCCCCTTCCCCATCCCACCTCCTGGATCCCACAGAGGTTCCCCCAGGGAACTGTGCCAGTCTTAATCCTCACTGAGCTGGTGCCCAGCACCATAACCCCTGGAAAACTTCCCCTGCAATGGATGGGTGTCTGCTGGGGCCAGGACTGGGACCTCTGCATCTGTGGTAGGTCTGCTGCTGGTGACAACCCAGGGGACTAAAGTGCTTCAGAGTAATATTTTTCAGGACAGTGGAACAAGCTGACCCACATCTCTTCCATTCACTACAGAAAGTGAAAACTATGTCAATGAAACGATCGGTTTATGTAATCATGTGGGCACTGCAGGACCAACAAACAGTGATGCCACTTCAAATGTTGGAAGATGCTTGAAGAGTCAAGGAGCAAGATTTTCTTTGCCTTAAACTGTAAGAACAATTTAAATTCCTCACAGCTCTCCTGATTTCATTCTGTGGCTCCCAGGGTCGAGAAAAGCTGCTGCAGAGTACGCAAGTGAAGTTATCTCATTCAGGGTGATTTAAAAGAAAAAAAACCAGCCCAAAGTGTTTTGCTTTGGGATGAATGACAAGGAGGAGAGAAAGAAAAAGCAGAAACATGACTGGAATAACAAGGCCACATTTTCTGCTACTGCCTCAGATTTGGAAGGTATCAAACGAACAAGCAAATGCCAGAACCCATAAGGTTGCACATTCATCCAAGAACAAGGTGATTAACTACACCAGCTACACACAGGTATATGCCTGTACTATTTCAGTTTATCATGGACATATCCAGAGTTTTTTTTCCTGGCTGCCTCACAGAAATGACTGAAGGTTAGAAGTGTTCAGTTGTAGAAGCAAAGTGTTACCAAACTGCTGCTTTTCACATCTTTGAAATAATACTAGAGAAGGTTTGATACATCATCTGGAAAACGACCCAGAGATATGCAGCAAGAAATGTCTGAGAAAATTATTTCCCCTACCAAAGAGATGTAATAGAAACTATTCAATAGAAATGATTTGCTTACTTTTTGGTTCGCATTTGCTGGATGAGTGCTTCAGAGTGTAGTGAAGTGGGCAGTCACCCCACTGGCTTGTACAAGATTGGGGTCTGTTGCTGGCAACTTTGCCTACAACTCCTTATTCTACATGGGCTGCCTGAAGTGTGTGAGAACTCATTTGTCACCAAAATAATGACTTCCCTGTTTTTCCAATTTGTTCTGTATCTGGTTTTCTTTCTAGGTAGAGCTAGACTTGAAGGCTCCAGGTAGCCTTAATGTCTTGGCTCTGATTTTAATTTCCTTTAATATTGAATGAGAAGATGAGCTCTCATTTTCCAAGCTGATTATTGGAATCTGCAAGATCATCCTGCAGGATGCCTCTCCCCCTTTTTTTTTTTTTTTTTTTTTTTTTTTTTTTTTTTTTAGTTTTGGCCCTTCTACTGCTATCACCTCAATAAAACAGGAGCTAAACAAGAAGGATATCAGGAATTTGCTTCAAAAACATATTTTCAGCTGTGCAGGGGGAAGTGCTTTGCTTTAAAAGGCTAAAGAAAGGCAGTGTTTAAAAGGCTGTGTTTCTGACCTATCTTGTGTAGCCCATGATGAGGCTCCTATTTTTCCCTGCTGTTTTCACTCAGATTCATTAATTACATTTTTATTATTTTGCCATGGGTGAGGTCTTCATTCATTTGACAGTATCCAGCTTGAATTTCTCAGGATGTTCTCTGACAGGAATACATGATGTAGCATCACTGATCTTCAGTGCTTTAAGCATGTAGCCCATCAGCACAGCAACATCCATGGGGCACGGAGCAGGAGGCAGCAGTGACACTGCGGTGCACCAGCTCAGTACTGGCTTTATGTGTGGTCTGATCTGCTCCCTGGGCATGACACAGGGTCCTGGGGGAACCATGCTCCTCATCAGGGTGCTTCTCTTTGTGGGATATACTTGTCTGAAGCTTCTCGCTGTTGTGTGGTCCCCCAATATTTTTTAGCCTTTCTGAACCAAAACTTTCTCAGGAAATGAAGCTTAGTGGCATGTTCCTCCCACACACACGCCAGGATCTGAAAACAAACTTTCCTAACCAACTCGTTTCCTAATGAGCTCTTTGGATAATAATCCAATATCATAAACAAATAATTACACAAAATAACTCCCTTCCCCTTAAGAAAAAAACAAAATCCCAATCCTTGAAAGTCCAAGTCTGAATTCAGCCATGAGAGAAAGGCTGAGGCTACAGCCTCAAAATAAAATCACCCAATATGGGAACCAAAGCCTGAGAGGGTGACCGGGGGACAGTCAGCCCCACGGCAGAGGGCCAGAGCCACTGGGGAGGTCAGGGACTGCGATGCAGACCAGGATGTCCAGGCAAGGTTAAGGAAACTGGCTAAGCACATTACAGTAAGTCACCGTTTTCCCATTGACTTCAAAACAATAAGTATCAGTCAGGGAAAGCTGCAACTGCCAGCAAAACATTTTTTTTCCAGCTGCTGTGCTAACCCGGATCAGGGCAGTCGAGTGCTCCACCGTATGTCCAAACCAGTCATCTGCCAAAGCATAGAGCAGAATTTTCTTTGGTCAAGTGTGGAAAACAGGCGCAACTATGTGCCACTACGTTATATTAAATGTGTAATTTAGCTGTCTTTGATATAGATCAATAAACACAGTGAGTGCTTTATACCTTATCCTTCTGCTCCCCTAACTGAGAGGTGCCTGCAGAGAATAGTGGGTGGCTGGAAAGGACATCAAGTTTGGGATGTACCTGCCAGAGATGGTATGATATGAACTGAGACCTCAGATTTGAAAAAAGAATAGGAGAAGCTGATTACACCTCCTTTCCCCTCCCCACTTAAAAAACAAACAAACAAACAAAAAAAGAAACCCCAAACACCAGAAGGGCAATCAGGGCACCCAGCTGGACTCACTCACACAACCCTGCTGCTCTAAATAAGAAGGAGTAAGGAAGGGAGGATCCCCTCTCCCTGCCAAGCAAGAGACCTCTCAACTGTACTGAGAAAAAAGATTTGAAGGCATTAGGTTGTTTGAGTTTCTTGTGGTTAGCTGATTTATTATTTTTTTAAAATAAATTTTCCTTTGGTGAAACTGATGTGTTATATGAAGAAAAAGAATCAATCCCAACTAGGCTGCTGAATCATTATATTTTGTTAAATAGAGAGGCTTTTTTAACAGTGGGAGGAAAGAATAAAGAAAAACAACTGTGAAAGACCTTCCAGAAGATTTAAGTGTTTAGAAGTGGGATGATAACAACAAATCACAGGGTGCTGGCCCTGTTGCAGATGATGCATGTGAAATGAAAAAAAATGAAACGGTTTGTGCTGTGTTTTTCTATTTGCAGGGAAGCAATAAGTCGACTGTGTGAAGCTGTATCAGGTACAAATGGAGCTATAAAAAAGCGGAAGGTAAAAACTGTTTTAGCTGAATGATTAATTTTCTGTATCTGCTTTTATTAAACATGATTCCCTAACAGGCTTCAGTCCACGTTGGAGTTAGTGCACGTTAATCCATCTGAGCTCGGTATAACATGAAAGTGCTTGTAGCAGGGTGTTTAGCCTGCTTGCTTTGGGGCCAAGGCCACGTCCTACCTTATTTTCTTCAGGATTAATGCTTTGCCCAGAGTTCCTGCTCCTACCAGCCTTTGCAGTGCTCAGTGCTTTACAAGTTTTAGGTTTTGGCTGGTATAATGTTGGAGGTTTGTTTTGGTTTTTTTTATTGCAAAAGGGAGCTCATTCACTGAAGGATTACCTGATTGTTATTTATATATTAAAAAAAAAAAATTAAACACAACTAAAATGACAGTGTTTAATGGGCTGATCACTTACTTAACAACTGGGATGTAGTGAGGGGCAACATCAGTGGCTGCTGTTGGGTTGTCCCCAGTGGAAGTTGCTGATTCTCTTCTGTAACTGTGGGGCTCAGGAGGAATGAATACACTTCTGAAAAATGAATACATGAGAAAATTTCTTGATTTACTCAGAAACACTTGATCCCTAGGAAACAAAGCAGAGTTCAG